TGAGGGTTCATGCAAAATTATGGGCATGAACTACTAAACTTAAGGACTCAAAGATACTTCTCATCTCCAGACTGCTCGACTTATAGAGTTCATGCAGAATTATGGGCATGAACTACTCAACTCAATGACTTCATGGGTAACATGTAATAGTCCCATGATTAGGAATATAATCTCAAAAGGGTTAGGAAATCGATGCTCAAGACTTAGAACTTGAAGATACTACTCCTCTCAAAGATGCTCAGTTTCCGAAGTTCATGAGGAATTTATGGGCAGGAAAGACTCGAATCGAGGGTCTACATAACAATCTGGAACTCATTTATACGGCTCTTCTCATTCTCATGCTTAATTCCTTAAAACTCTGTTTAAGAACTCAAGTGTTGGCTTTAAACAAAAGCTTTTCAAAATTTATAACTCAAAATAGGGTTCATGCTCAAAAATAGACATGAACAAATCAACTCTAGGATCTCAATAACAATATAGAAACTCAATAATTAGGAATAGAGTTTTTGAAAGAAACATGAACTCAAGAACTCAAAATTAACTTATCTCAAGAATACTAAAATCTAGGAAAATAATCCTAGATTACTCTTTTACTGATCTGAAAGTAGATGTAAGGCATGAGGACGAACTAGTCCAACACTATGATAGCCTTACATACATGGAAGAACAAGGTTCTTGAAGAATATTGAAGAAAAACTTGATTAGAAGCCTTGAAACCCTAGCTTGAAGAACAAAAATCAAGAAAACCTTTCTTGAGATTTCTTGAATTAGTTTCTTGAAATCTCTATGGCCAAGAATTATGATTTTCATTAGTGATTCATAATTGAAGAAGAATCTTGAAAGAGATTGAAAGTATCTTGAAAAAGTTTGAAAGAATTTTGAATGGAGTCTTTTACTTTGATTTTTCCTTAGGGGTTTTCCCTAGGGTTTGAGAGAGAAGAGAATGATGGGTTAAAAGATGAAAATCTGATTGTTTTGAGCCTTATATCAGTCAAGAAATTCGCAACTCTCACCTCAAGAACTCAACAAGAACTTCATTATCAAAGAACGAAGCACAAAACCTCAAGAACTCAACATACTCAATCTCATGGATGAAATTCGTAAAAGAAACACATGATTAGCGTGTGAGCGAACAAACCCAACGCTATCGAAGCTTACATATCTCAAAAGAACTAGGTTCTTGGTGAAATCTTGAATTTCTTGAACTAATGCTTGAAACTTTGAACTTTTTCTCCTCTTGAATCTTCTCTCTAAAATCCTAAATGCTTTGGAGATGAATGAAACTGATTCTAATCAGTTTAGACTCCTAAAACCTAACTAAAAATATTTAAATTCGATTGGGTAAGGAAAATACCAAAATACCCTTCATATTTTTGGGTAACTTTCCTTATTTGGACAACCCAACTTCAAACGGGCATATCTCCCTCATACTAGCTCAAAAATTAGCAAACTCAGTGGCGTTGGAAAGAGGACTCAGAGATCTTTCATGTTATATCTTATGAGCCACTTAGTTCATCTTGTAGTGAAAGTTTGGTCATTTGAAGTTGGCACAAAATTTAAAAGAGCTAAGGAATGACTTGAATGAATTCTCTTTAATTCTTTTCTGGAACTCAAGGTGCTATATCTAGTAACCTGACCTTAATACTTGATAAAATTTAATTTTCTTGGTAAAATCCTACTCATAGCGAAGAAAGGTTCGAGTCTTAGTTCAAATTTTTTTTGGGGTGTTACAGTTACATCCTTCATCCCAATTTAAATTTCAAAAGGTTTGTCTCTCTAATCAATCAATTTCAAATCAATGAATAGATAGTTTTCATCTTCTTCATTCTCATGTTCTTCGATTTTTTTTTTGAAGTTTTCATCTTCTCCATCTAATAATGATCGAATTAAACTCATATAAGATTAACAATATTAGTGCTTTGGAGAACGACGTCACTCTGCCATTGGTGATTTCAGTCCTTACTATTAGTCTTATTTTTCAGTCGAGGTGAATTTTTCTGATTTATTTTTGGTGTAGGTGTACTTGGATGTTCTACCAATGGTACTAAAGAGTCAGAAAAGATGGATGATCAATCCAAGATAAACAATATTAGTTCATCAAGTTGTACGGAATATCAGATACAAATTTTTGGTAAATGTTTGATATTGCCCTTTGTTAATTATTTCAAAAATCTGATATATTAATGAAAAAGTGTTATCATAAGTTAAATGTACTATATAGATACATAAAATCCTAATATTGTTCTCGTTTTGAATAGGTGCTACGAGTGTATCAAGATGTATCAGGTTATAAAGTTCACGTTGTAGAATGAGTTGTTATATGCAAAAAGTTGTATCATATACAATATATATAGTTCTACTTGATACATTAATATTACATAATGAGTATATGAAGTTATAATTAGTATCAGATATAATTTTTGATACATTTGCACTTTATCACGTTGTAATGCATATCAGATACATTTTTATATCACTATATATCAGATACACAATTAAGATACTTTATAATTTCAATTATGTATCATATACTTAACTTTTAATAAGTATCAGATTCAAAAATTTATTGAAATGTATTAGATTCACACATAAGATACGTTACAATTTACTCATTTAATTGTTTGTCATTTCATTCAGATTACCTTCGTACATGATATACAACCATATTATGAAAAAAGGGTACTGAAAAAGTTAAGGCAGCATACGCTAGTGAAAATGAGGATCCACCAAGGCCTAATATTCAATTCACAGCACCAGCTCAAGACGATTTGGTTAATGTTGAGTAGAGATTATCTATCAATTGTTAGACACTTTTTATAGTGTTATTATTTTTGAGATACATTAACTCTAGTTTTAGAGTTTTTTTGTTTTTACTGTTTTAAGATACTGATACTTAAGTTTTAGAGTATTTCTTAAAAAAATTATTTATTTTGACCTTGACTTTCATTATTTTTAGTTGTTATTTACAGTATGTATTGCCGTACACATTTGTCTTATATAAACTTATACAAAATTTGGATAAAACTAAGTATCAGATTCATTAATGTATAAACACACAACATTATTTCTTCTCATTAGTTTTAGTTAGTTGCTGATACATTTTGATACCTAACCAATGGAATGTGATTTATAACTTGATTGCTGATTCAATTATGTATTTACTTGATAACTTAGTTCTAGTTAGTTGCTTATTCATTCATGCTGATACATTGGATAATTAGTTGTAGTTAATTCCTGATTCATTGATGTATCTAATTGATAAATAAATTCTTACTTATTGTGATACATTTATAGATACACTTTATTTCATTTTACATACTACTTTTTTTTCACAACCTTATTGTATCAAATACATCATTTTCAACTAGATTGTGATACATTATATGAAAATGTATCTAAACCATATTGAGTGGTCCAAGTCAATGATGAGGCAAAGCAGTTCCTTGACTTTGTCAACCGAGTCAGTAGAACGCTTACAAAGGGTAGAAAGCAGACAGATGTCATCGAATCGTATGTGAACAAATTCCAAAAATCCGCTCTTAGAGTTCGAGAATCCAAGAGCTGGCAAGTTAGCTAGCGAACCAAGGGGACTACAGTCTTGACCTCCGATCGAGTTAAGAACACGAGTAGATAGGCGGTTAGGGGGGAGAGGGTCGGCTGGGCCTGCCTTTCAATCAATCTATGGCCGCTCAGTGCCGCGATTGGTGCGAGTTGTAAGGAGTCTTGCTCTCGAGTCAAGCTGGGGCTCTCCGCAAACACTATCTCTGTACATTATTATCAAATAACTACGGATACATTATTTTAAAAAGGTATATGTAACATAATGTGTTACAAAAACGAATACAAGGTTGACAATCTTAACATTTCAATTTTTTGTATTAGAATTTCACCAACTAATAGTAAATTGTAATGTTTTATTGAAGTAAAAGTGGAAAAAGTAAAAAACTGAAAACCTATAATCTCAAAATAATGTATTTGAAACATAACAATAGTCCTAAAAAGGAGTTTATCAATCTTCTTTTGGAAAAAAGTACAAGTTCTTCGGTTGTGACCTTCTTGTCCACAACAATTTGTGTTTATACTTATCTTTTCATCTGGATTTTTTTTTTATTTTCCTTGGTCGTCTAAGCATCTTTTTGTACCAGGTGGTAAGATAATTTCTTCCAAAACATATTCTGGTACTGACCATTCGTCCTTATCCGGCATTGGAACCATTGGAAGTTCATACGTGTTTGCTAATGCAACTGATTTGTAGTAATCAGAGCAGTAGGGATGTATCTCTGTAATATTTTTGCTCTTCACAACAACAATTGCATGCACACAAGGTATCTCGTCATGCTGAAATTTCCCACAGTTACACATTTTTCTCTCAAGGCAAACAATGTATCTTCTCCCACCTTCATACACAAAATAAATAAATTTAGACGATAGAACAACCTGCGCACATTTGAAAGTTAGAGATACATCACATATCAATTAATTCAATTTAAGATATACAATAGTTTATATATTGATACATACCTTCATATATTGATTAAGAAATTCATATACTGATACATAAAAAAAAGAAATTAATATGTATATGATACGTTATAGTCACAACACACTGACTCACATCTATAAAATTCCTTTACATCTACATCAAACTAGAATTGAACCAAGTTGAAATTAGTAATGCATTATGATTTATATATGCATATACAAATTCAAAAATCAAAAAAGAAATCCACATGTATATGATACTTTATATTAATTGTGCAGTAACTCACAAATTTGCAAACCCATAACATATACATCAAAGTTTTAATGTATTAAGTTCTAACCAGTAACGTATCATGACTTATCAATCAATATACAAATTTATGAATGAAAAAATAGTGATTAAAACACAAGAATATATGTTGTATACCTTTTGTTAGCAGATCTTTTAACTCGAAAATTGAAGCTATGACAAATAAGCATAACTATTTTTCCCCAAGCTAATTCTAAAATAACAACTTTCAATTGTCTTCATATTTGAGATCTGCCATCAAACAATAGTAAGCAACCACCAGCACAAAAATAAAGCAATGAAGAATGTTGACAAAGAAACCCAGGTCCTGGTCGTCAATCATAGTGAGATTTTTGTAGAATTCGAAGAACCCAAAGGCTACGATCTTCAATTTTTTCTTTCTTCGAGAGTGTTAGTAAGAAAACGAAATGTTCATTATGTAACTTATCAAATTTTCAACAAAAGTTTTGAATCCTTCTCGAAAGTTTCTTCGTTGAAACAGGGACAAAGATGAACAAAGATGTTGAGTTTTGAATTTTGAATTGGTTTGTTATTTTAGGATTTACTTTTCTCTGATTGACACAGTAAAGAGGAACTGAATAATGTAAATTAAGGGATTTTAATTTGATTTTCTGTTTTGTTTCCCTTTTTAAGCCCAACAACCAAATATAATGTATCATAATTAATTTATCCGGAAAACCAATTATGTATCCGAATGACTGATATTTTAAGGGATTTTTGTAAACTAGAAAAAAAGTAGGGATAGTTAGGTTTTGCACTATGAGATTTATGTAAGTTATACTTCTTTATTTACATGTAGAATTAAATCGGGTAGTTATTAAATTGCACATATGCATAAAGGTAAATTCTTTAGTGTGAGAATGATTTTGGATATCAATCAAGGTCACTAGAATATCCTAGTACAAAGTCGAGTTGAAAGTTTTCTTACCTATTAAGTTTTGATTAAGATTCTACTTGGATCAAATTTAAACGACCATATCTCTTAGAATATAAAGAGTTACATGGCCCATAACCTATTAAATTAAAGGTATCTAAATTTTCTTTCCAATAATACCTATTTCGCAACAATGTGAGTTCAGAGTAAAAAGTTATGACCATTTTAGTAACCTGATACAATGCAGTGACAAATTAGCCGCAGGGAAAACATTAAAAAGGGTCATTTTGTCTTTTTACATCTAAGAAAACCCTAAACGAATTTCTTAACTAATTAATGGTCCAATCAATCATATTTTCATCTATTACGTCACGACCTGAGTCTACACCCTGTATGTGGTCGGCACTCGAGAATCATTGCTGGTCCCCAAGTGAACCCTCATCCTGACTAACTACAAGTGGAAGACTAACTCAAGCATATATAAACTTAAAACTGAATTAAATTCCTTGAACTCAGATGCTCAACTTTAAAAAGTCTGAATAATACTTAACAGATAAACTCATAGTTTTGTAAATCAACTCAAAAGAAGGTAAATATTGAAAAACTACTCAACTATGTCTATCTATGAAGCCTTTACTATTACAGAAGGATATCGAGACAAGACACACGACATCTCAAAACTTCTAACTATAAGGTAGTGGTGAAGTCCTTTGAAATATAAGAAGGCTCACCAAACCTCACTGGAATGTCAACTGATCTCAACGAAATGCCTGTTGATGATACTGAGTACCTGTATCAACATCATAAAACAATGCAGGTCGAATGACATCAGTAAATTGAACGTATGAGCATATAAGGGGAACTTTTGACATAAATATAAGCTTGAACTGATAAAAGGAAAATATACTTACCTCGTCTCAACTCAACTCAACTCAAGAATACTCAGCTCAACTCAAGAATATTCAAAACTCAACTGAAGAATACTCAACTAAACTCAACTTGAAAATAATGATAATAGCATGCAATAAATAAGATTTGTAAACAGTAGACCAGAACTCAAAAATATATAAAAATACAATAATAGACTCTTTACTCTTATTTAGGAGATTCTCTAACCGACAATCATCACTATGAGATATGTGATGATACAATGTCTCGCTTACGCTGCCAGAACTGTCCTATACTTTGCCGGGGTATAGGAAATCCTCAACTAAGTGGATCCACTATGCTATGCTTAAAATAAATAAGGAATCATCTAAAAGGTATGATATTTTAACCATATTGGCATACATAGTTTATGAGGATTTTGAGTTGTCTGAACTTATCCCCATATCGGTGCTCAATACTACTTCCAATAATATATACCTTATGCTCATAAGTTTAAAAAATATAACTCTTCATCTGGTTTGAGATAATTGCTCAACTACCCTCTTAAAAGATGTAACTGCTCAAAAATATCTTCGAACTCATAAACTCTTTTTAGAAATAAAATTTTCTTTTTTCTCAATGTAAATATGATACATTTGGGAATACTTACTTCCCTTATACTCAACTCTATTCATATTTCAAAGCTCTTTCTCAAAGCTCTTTTTTTCTTCCTCAAAACTCAGTTTGTAAAACTCATAATTGGTTTTCACAGACTTCTCAAAACTTGTAACTCAAAATAGGGTTCATGTTGAAATATAGACATGAAAGAAACAACTCAAGGACCTCAATGACTTTATAGAACACAATACTCAGAACTCAAGAATTTGGAACTTAGGACTCAACGATACTAGTCCTCTCAGGAATATCAATTCATAAAGTTCATACAGAATTATAGGCATGAACAATTCGACTTTGGGATCTCAATAACAATATAAAACTTATGAGTACAACTCTTCTCATTCTCATACTTATTTACTCAAGTCTTAAAACAAGTTATAAGTAATTGTAGAAGACTTCTAAAAAAAACTCAATAGGACTTGTAGACCTTCAATTTGATACCTCATGGGCCACCTAACTCATTCTGTGTTGAAAATTATGGTTATTTGAAGTTTACCCAAGAATAAACTCATAGAGAAACTCAATTGGAAGGAAAGTTTCCAACTCAACTTTATGCTAGGGAATTTTAGCGACCTTAACATCTAAGAAAATTTAGAATCACTCGGTACAAATCTTATTCACCATAAAGAATGACTCGAATCTTAACTTAGAAATTTTTGGAATGTTACATCTTAGTCCAACATTCTTTTCCCTCTCTAACCCTAAGGAAAAACCCTACGTAAAAAATCAAAGTAGAAGAGTTCCATTCAAGATTCTTTCAATATTTTCAATATTCTTCTTCAAGGTAAGTTCTTCTCCAAGAAGTCCATTCTTTCCAACTCAAATTCCTCCATACAATTTTGAATTACTAATAAAAATCATAGTTCTTGGTCATAGAGATTTCAAGAAACTAAATCAAGAATCTCAAGAAAGGTTTTCTTGATTTTTCTTCGTCAAGGTAGGGTTTCAAGGCTTCTAATCAAGTTCTTCTTCAAGAACCTTGTTCTTCCAGGTACGTAAGGCAATCATAGTATTAGACTAGTTCTTCCTCATGCCCTACATCTACTTTCACATTAGTAAAAGAGTAATCTAGGTTCCTATCCCTAAATTTGAGTATTTTGATGAGTTGATTTTGAGTTCTTGAGTTCCTGATTCTTTTTGAAATTCTATTCCTAATTATTGAATTGCTATATGTTTTGAATTAAGATTATTGAGTAGATTCTTTCATGTCTATATTTCAGCATGAACTCTATGAATTGAGTATTTTTGAGATGAGTAGTATCATTGAGTTCTGAGTATTGAGTTTTTTATATTGTTATTGAGATTTTTGAGCTGATTTGTTCATGTCTATATTTCAGCATGAACCCTATTTTGAGTTATAATTTTTGAGAATCTTTTAAAGTAAACATTTTTGTCTTAAACTAGTTTTCTGAGAAAGCAAAGATGAGTTTTGAGAAAGAGTTTTAAAACATGATTAGTGTGACAGTCGAGTATGTCATCAATGTTTATATAGTATGGTATCAAGATATGCCATGAATGTTTATGTAGTATGACTTCCCAAATCATCAATGATCAGATCACAATATGATTTTTGATATAGTTTTGAGAGAGAGTTTTCAAATATGAATTGAGTAAGAGTATAATGGAGCTAAGTATTCCCAATGGTATCATTATTTACATTGAGAAAAGAGAAACTTTAATTTCTAAATGAGTTAATGAGTTTAGAGATATTTCAGCGTAGTTACCTCTTTTAAGAGGTTACCTTGAGTAATCACCTCAAAACTGAGAAAGAGTATGTGTTATACACTTGAGCATGAGTATATTATTGGGAGTAATATTAAGCACCTATATGAGGATGAGTTCAGACAACTCAAAATCCTCATAAATAATGTCTTGCCAAAATGGGTACAAGATCATACTCTTTAGATGAATCCTTATTACTTAATGGATCCACTTAGTTGAGAGGTTCTATACCCTGGCACTGTGTAGGACTGTTCTGCGAGCGTGGGCGAGACATTGTATCATTACGTAGCTCATAGTGATGGTTGTCAGTTAGTGAATCTCTCAAATAGAGTTTAAAGTATATTTTTATTATATCACTTAATATGTCGAGTTTAGAGATGAGTAAGTATTTTGTAAAGTTTTAATGGTTTCACTCTTTTATTTGTTTACATTCAATTCAATATATATCTATATCTATTGAAGTCCTTTCATTCAATTTTTTGTTATTAAGCTATATTACATACTCGTACATTCAATGTACTCATGCCATTCGACCTGCATCTTTTAATGATGCAAATACCGATTCATAAGATCCTCAACAAGAGTCTATTGAGATCACTTCATTTGCTCATCAGCTTTTGAGTAAGACCTCCTTGCTTCCAGAGGACTCCAATTTTATGAGTTGTTAGTATTAGTAGTATTTTAAGTAGTCGTGGATCTTGTCCCGACACTCATCTATTTGTAGTAGAGGCTTGATAGATAGACAGTTTTGGAGAGTCTTGCAGATTTAGAGATTTAATACACTGTTGATTTACTATTTCTTTTAGTTTGATGTTTATGTATGCTCGAGTTAGTCTTCTTGTTGTAGTCATATAGGATGAGGGTTCGCTTGGGGACTAACAATGGCTTTCGAGTGACATCCATGTTCAGGGTGTAGGCTCGGTTCGGGACAAATTTGTTATCAGAGCACAGAGTTTAAGTGTCCTAGCGTGTCTATAAAGGTGTGTAAGTAGGATCATATATATTGTTGTGAGGGCCCTACTACTATAAATGAGGGACTACAAACATTTAGAAAAAGTTTTCCTTCTTTCATACTAAATTGTGCAATAAAACTGTGTCATAAATAATTTATTCTAACTCATGTGTTTCTCAAATCCATTCGACTACCCCTTATACTCAAGGTAGTTGGAAAGCAAAGCTAG